AAGCATTCTTACTTTACAGCATTTTTTCACACCTGCCTAAAACTTTTGCACAGTACTGTATATGCATACCTAGACATATGTATACAGAAATGTGCATACAATTATGGGGAGAGGGGGGAAATCTCCAGAATTGTTTACTACAATCTCCAACGCATTCTGATGCAGAAGAATTTCCAAATAGTCCCTCAAATTGATAGTCAATAATCTATTATCAATGACCTAATTAGCTATCTCTAATTAATCACTAAATCAGCATGACTAGTCCTGCTGGTATTATTTAAAAAAAACTTGAAAAGCTAACCTGACCAGCATTTTCTTCAATAAATCAAAAGAATCAAATCTAACAGTCATAAAAATCTGTTATACTGTTTCTGTACCTATGGCTCCAGGAACAATTAAAATACAGAAATCCAGGTTGTGCTATCTTTTCAAAAGGACTTTCTCCAATTTGACAGAAAATCAGCATGAAGCAATGAACTGAAATATTTCTAGGCTGCATCTTTAAGGCTACCAGAATACTTTTTCTATCAACCAACTGAGAATTTCCAGCAGGAACTGGGTTGTAACTAGCCCTCTGCCACTTGCTGAAAACAAGGCAAACATTTAGGCTACTTTCAAGAGCTAGTCTAAATATATAGCTCTCCATTGCTCTGAATAGGAGAGAAAGACATTTTTAACAAAATCTCTGCTCTCCCACTCCATTAGTGCTTATCCAACAGGAGACAGGGATTTTTGGGGGGCTTTAACATCAGAGTACCCCAAGAAAGGCACATGACTCCTGTTTTAATATTGCTTATTTACAAGAGTAATTTCCATAAAGAAATCAATTGTTTGGAAAGATGGTTCTGTATCAGGCATTTGAGTGCTACTGCCCATTAGCGTGGACAGCACTGGGTTCAAAAGTCCAGCACTGACAGCACTCTGGTTTTGGCAGCTTCATTATGGCCATGAAACCAGTTCAGAAGCAAGGAGTTTCTTTACCTTACAACCCTGAGCAACAGCAATTCTATTGTGTGCAGTTATACTAAGGTCTAAAACATGCTAAAACGTGTGTGTAGCTTTGATCAACTACAGCATGTCATGATTCTTCCTTGGCCCTTTTTCCTTTTTAATTTGAAAATCAAAGCAAAATAAAATAATAATTAACACTTTTAATTTGAAAATTGAAAGGGTTTATGTTAATATGATTATTGTAGAACCTTATTCAAGATCAGCAACAAGCTGGTTAAGAATCCCAGATGCCAAGAATAAATCAAATTACTGTGAACTTCATGCAGAATTTTTAAATTTCCAAAGTGAACAGTAATTGCTTACAGTTAAAAAGAGGATACAAATCTTTTTGTTGTTGTTGTTCTATTCACTATAAAATGATTTTAAACTGCAAATTATTTTGAGCTGCTTTTAAAAAAATGAAGTCTGCATAAAAACTGGGGTTTGGTGATAAATGTTTACATTGCTGAAAGGACAGATTTATTCTTAGCAATATAACATTTATTTCCTCTCTCCCGTTTTTTTTATGATGAGAATGTGATCGGTGATCTCAAGAAAACTAAGAAATGTCAATGTTAAAACAAGTCACTCTCAAAAATGCAAAAAAAAGGCTCACTCACTTGCTTATTCATAGGTTGACTCTGAGGTAGAGATCCAGGTGCCAACACAGGTGAGTTTGTGGGGCTGCAAAGTTCAGGGAAAGGATTTGGAATGGCAGGCAAAGAGGATGTTCTGAATTGTTGCTCTTCCTCTTGCAGACGTCTACAGAACATACAGAAATTTTCAGATGGTAGTCTGATTAGGCTAGTTAGCATTAGTTAAAGTGGGACAGAAATAATAACCATGGTTAACGTTACCAAAGCAAGGGGAAGGGGGATTCATTTGTGACACAAAAGCACCACAAGATCTTAAGTCTTAACTCTATTTTTAAAATACCTGTTTAAAAATTAGGCCTACCATTTTTTCCTAATATCTTGCTAATTCTACTAATTAGCAGCAATGACAGTTAGTAACTGTATTTAGACCAGGGGTATTTCATGGATAGTTTTTGTTTCATAGAGAATATGTAAAAATGATTTTTTTTCATGATTTCTAAGTGGCTTCCTATATTAGAAAAAAAATAGCGCTTTTAGAAGTTTACAGATACTGATTTAGCCTAAAACAGAATAAAGCTATTTAAATTTGTACTTTATAAAGTTCTTCAGCAGCACCACATGATAACTATATTTTTTATCTTGACTTTTTCTCATAGCTCAAACTATTTTGCACTATAGCTTTCTTTTATTGTTCAGTTACCTCTGTTTTGCCCTTAAATTTAATTTACTTAGACACAAATCTATTTCTAATCTGACTCAATAGACACTAATTTTTAAGAATTCTGAACATCTGAAGTGCCATGATCTTAACATTTATTCAGAAACAAGGCCCTCTGAGTTCAGTGAGATTTACTTCCTACCAAGAATATTCAGTCATTTTTAAACAGTATGCTGGGCAAATAGTTTATTTTAAGAAAATAAATGTATATTGTTGTATGCAGCCTAGAGTTGCTCTGGCAACTGAGAAGGCTTGTAAGTTGATCAAACAAACAAAGAGAAAGCTGCTTGCTGACCTAGCTTTGCCCTCAGCTTCCACTTTGGGTAGATAGCCCTGCCAGCCCTTGCTTGGGACATTCAACCCTTCTCAGTGCAGAGGCTCAGGAAGACCCATGCATCAGCTATTCAGTTGATTTCCAGCCCTGTTTCTTGCCTCCTTCCAGAACTTCCAAAATTATCTGTCAGTGTAGAAGGATGCTGTACTTTACTCTAATTAAGTACAGCCTTAAGAAAAAGCACATTCAGAACACTGACTCATACAAAAAACAAGAAATGGATTTCTTTAAAGTTGCCAATGCTTAACATTCATATTTTAAAAAACAAAACAAGTTTTCAGGTAAAAATGCGTACTGCAAGCAACAAGCTCAGGGAAATGCTGGACTAGATAAGTGTGCTTATGTGCTACGAACCCTAGAGAACTCAGGCAGGACCACTGAGATTCCACTTTCAATTTGCAGAGGCGTCACTGAAGCAGAGGGATAATGTATCCTACTAAGTTCTTGCTGTCAATCAGACCCCAAATCTTAGGGCTGCAATGGCTTGCTGAAAAGGACCACTGCTGCACTGGTTACATACCTGACTGCCATGATGCGGACTGGTTGAGACCTCTGTATTTTCTGTCGTGGAGACACTGGATGCTGCAAATGAGTTCCCGAAGCTAACAGCTGGCTGCGATTTAGCTGGCCATTCTGAAGGAGGGGTGTGCTTTCTGAATGCATACTGAAGGTGGAGCACAGACTTTCAAATGAGGAGTTCATATTGTTAACTAAAGCTTCCAAGTCCACATCATCATCTGAAAGGATATGAAGAGACGAATACTGAAGGTCAGAAGCAACAAAATACATTAGCCACACATATCTGGCCAGTTCTTATACAACACTTATCTACCATTTGGAATTATTTTCCCCAAATTCACTGGATTGTGCAGATAAGGATTGTAGCCCAAGGAGGTTGTTCAAGTTGAGAGAGATAGATGTATGTATGTTTGTATGTATGTATGCATTTAGGTTTATACTTGCCAAAGCAATTCGGGGTGGTGAACAAAGTTTAAAAATAAAAACCACAATATAAATAACCTTTAAAAAATAGAACATACAATCCAAAAATGACAGTAGCCAAGAATTAAAAAACCACAAAATAATTTCTAACCACTTGGGCTTCACCAACTTCCTGATCCCCATGCCCAGGAAAACAGCCAGGTTTTCAGCGCTTTCCAGAAAGCCAGCCTGGTCAGGGCCTCAGGTGATAAGATGTTCCAAAGGGCAGACATCGTGACTGAAAAAGCATGTTTCCTGCAAGATTCTTTAATTGAAAGAACTCAGAGCATGCCCTCCTGCCACATCTAACATCTAACAGGGTAGAGACACAAGCTTAAGATGAGCAGGTCATAAAAGCATGTACAGAGAACTAAAAAAACCTGTCTCAAAATAATCTTACATAATACTAGTAGTGGTCTTTGCATTTATAATTTACAATTTCAACAGTATCAGCACTTTTTAAATTGCCCCATCCAGTCTAAAACAATAGAAACAGCAGAAACATAATCAGCCCTGCTGCTTCATTGGGTTGTTTTTGAAAAAAAATATATGTAGTATTATATTCCCCATCTGTTTCTTTCTGGTTACCACCACTATCTCACTACAGAAAGCTTTAAAAGCTAAAATTAAAATCTGTTTTCTTATAGCATTCTTATATAAGCACACTGAACCCAATGCCCATGAGAGTACCCTATTTCAGCAAAAACAAGGGGTCATATTACACTTAGATTAACACATATCTTCTGGAATACATTCAACTTTATCAGATACATGAAGTATTATGCCATGTTGCAAGTATATGTATACATGACTATAAACAATGAATTTAGAGGAAATGGAAAGCATATTCTACACAAAGACAGCAATAACCACATTATTAGCAGTGACCATTCAGAAAGCAATAGTTGAGTGAAAACATTTTTGGTCTGGTATATTGGTCAAGAGAAATAATTAGGAATATTATCCTTGATGATGCTATAAGTACACTGATCTACCCAACTTTGTCAACTTGCAACCAAATAAAAGTACTTCAGTTTAGTGGAGCACATGGATCTTCAGATCAATGACACAGTCATGGGTACTACTGTCACAAAGACTGCTTCACATTATGATAAATGTCACGGCTATTTTAAAATAATACTGTTACACTTCTGTTCCCAAAGCCTCTTCTTGATCTGAGATTCTTAAGACATCATTGTAATCTGGATTCACAGACAGAAAGCAAATAAAAAATATCATTTTACTAACATTCATTCCACCAATCACCACAGCTAGACCAATCCATGAAACAAGTTTGCTATCTGTATGTTATTATGAAAAAACAGAATGGATATGAAAAAACTACCTTATACAGTGGTACCTTGGGTTACGAGTGCCTCTGCTTACAAACTTTTTGGGTTGCAACCAGCTCCAGCCGCAAAAATTTACCTCGGTTTGCAAACTCCGCCTCGGGGTACGAACCGGAGCCGCGGCCATTTTCCGCCGTGACATGTGGTCCGTGGCCATTTTCCGCTCGTGCCACGTGGTCTGCGGCCGTTTTTCCGCCCGTGCCACGTGGTCCGCGGCCGTTTTTCCACCCTGCCGCATGGTCCGCGGCCGTTTTTCCGCCCTTGACGCGTGGTCCG